GAGCGGACTTTGTTGCGCCATTTCCGGGGGACTGGATTGTGCTGCCTGGGGGCATCTTGCAGGAGATACCGCAGCAGCAGCAGCAGCAGCAGCAGCAGCAGCGGCAGCAGCAGCAGCAGCAGCAGCAGCACGAAGGGCTGATGTCACAGGTAGAGCAGGTAGTCAATGAGCTGCTGGGGCCAACGCCTGCAGCAGTGGCAATCGTGGAGAGGCTGCAGCAGCGGCAGCGCAACAAGCTGCAGCAGCAGCAGCAGCAGCAGCAGCAGCAGGGACCGAAAGCAAAAGCACCAGCAGCCGCAGCGCCTGCAGCAAGCCAGCCCTAGCTAAATATGCTACAACGAGGAACGAACTGAGCAGCAGCAACAGCAGCAGCAGCAGCAGCAGCAGCAAATCGGAAGCTGTAAACAATATACATATAGGGCATTTGCCCAAAACCTGCCGCATTGCTGCTGCCGCTGCTTCTGCTGCGCAGTTTGCTGCTGCAGCAGCAGAAAGGTAAGACAGCAGACGCCGTAGGCATGCAGCAGCAACAGCCAAACGCAGCAGCGCAGGCAGCAGCAATTGCAGCAGCAGCAGCAGCAGCAGCAGCTATAGTTGGGGCAGCAACAGCCGCTGTTGCTGCAGTTTTTCCGCCAGAATGATTCGCGGTACCCCCAGCAACAGCAGCAGCAGCAGGAATTGCCGCAGCAGCCCCTGTGGCTGCAGCAGTAGCAGCAGCTGCTGCGGGACTACTGCAGCAGCAGCAGCGCCAGGAGCCACAATAACCGTTGAGGCATTGCTTCAAGCGGCAACAGCAGCAGCAGCAAGGGAGCAGCAGCAGCTGCAGCAAAGCCGCCGCGGCAGCAGCAGCAGCAAGGGAGCAGCAGCAGCTGCAGCAAAGCCGCCGCGGCAGCAGCAGCAGCAAGGGCGCAGCAGCAGCTGCAGCAAAGCCGCCGCCGCAGCAGCAGCAGCAAGGGCGCAGCAGCAGCTGCAGCAGAGCTGCCGCAGCAACAGCAGCGGCTCGTTTTAGGCACTTCTTTGTTCTTAAAAAATAAAATTATTTCTAATTTTCATCTGAGAGATAAAAAAGTTTATTTGTGCATTTCAGCAGCAACTGCTCAGCTGTCTGTACACCCCAGCTTCTTGCATTTGGCATTTTTAATGAAAAATAAAAAGGACAAAAACACCGCGCAGGCTTCAATTCTATTTCACTAGCCACATGAGCAGCAGCAGCAGCAGCAGCTGCTGCTGCTGCTGCTGCTGCTGCTGCTGATGCAGCAGCTTCCGCTGCAGCTGCAGCACCAGCATCACAAGCAGCAGCTGCAGCTGCAGCACCAGCATCACAAGCAGCAGCTGCAGCTGCAGCTGCAGCAAAAGCAGCAGCGTCAATAGCAGCAGCTGCAGCTGCAGCTGCAGCAACAGCAGCAGCGTCAATAGCAGCAGCTGCAGCCGCAGCAGCGACTGCAGCAACAGCCGCAGCAACAGCTGCAGCAAAAGCCGCAGCAGCAGCGGCTGCACCTGCAGAAGCAAGAGCAGCAGCAGCTGCAGCAGCAGCTGAAGTGCTGCTGACCTTCTCTACTTTTTGCTGCAGAAGCTGCAGCAGCTCTTCTATGCCCCTTTGCTGCAGCAGCAGGCAATGGCTAGCTGCGGTGTACGCGCAGCTAACCAGTTCTTTCATGTTTATAAAATCATTTTATTTAATTATTTTATTTAATTATTTTATTTTATAATTCCATTCTTTTATTTTCTTTTTTTGAATGCACAAAAGACGGGCTGTAGACCTGTAGACGCCCGCGAAAACATAATCGTAAGCCAATACTGCTGCTGCTGCTGCTGCTGCTGCTGCTGCTGCTGCTGCTGCTGCTGCTGCTTGTGCTGCTGCTCATGCTTGTGCCTGTCAAGCACGGGGCTGGAACAGCAGCAGCAGAAGCCCGCAGAAAAGCCCCAGAGACCCCCGCCCAGAAGAATAAAAATGCATGCGTCGCTTGCTGCTGCTGCTGCTGCTGCTGCTGCTGCTGCTGCTGCTGCTGCTGCTTTCGTTTCTAGTTGCTTCAACTTCCTGATGCATTAGCTGCCGCGGTGAAGGCAAGTTAGCCCCAGAGGAAGGACGCTGCGCGGCAGCAGAGGCCGCTGCTGCCGCTTTCCAAACAGCTGCAGCAGCAGCAGCAGCTGCTGCTGCTGCTGCTGCAGCAGCTGCTGCAGCAAACGTTCGCTACTCACTGCGCAGCAGCTTGGGGGCCCCCCCGAAGGGTCGCAGCTAAGTAGGCGAGGCCCCCCACCTGCAGCGGCAGCAAAGAGCTGCTGCTGTACCCTTGGGAGCAAACAAAAGGTTCTGTGCCCCCTTCTAAATCTCTGAGTTGGTTGCTGCTGATTCCCTGCTGCGCTGCTGCTGCTGCTGCTGCTGCTGCTGCTGCTGCTGTCATTAGGGGCACCGGGGAGGGGCCCTGCGGGGCCCCTGCGGCCCCGGACACCCACGGCTGCTGCTGCTGCTGCTGCTGCTGCTGCAGCTGCTGCTGCTGCTGCAGCTGCTGCAGGCGCTGCAGCTGCTGCAGGCGCTGCAGCTGGTGCTGCAGCTGCAGCTGCAGCTGCTCCTGCTGCTGCTGCTGCTGCTGAGGCAGCGAGGAGGCTGCGCGGCCCCCCTCAGGCAGCAGCTGGGGGCCCCCCACTATAGGGGCCCCCTGGGGGCCCCTGAGTGCAGCAGGAACAAAAGGAGCAGCAGCAGGATTTAGAACTGAAGAAGCAGCCACAGAACAAGTCTTTCTCTGGCCGGACCCACTCCACTGCTGCTGCTGCTGCTGCTGCTGCTGCTGCTGCTGCTGCTCTGTGGCGCCCCATGAGTTTCGGCCGCGGAAAGGAAGTTCATGGCCGCCGCCAGCAGCAGCTGTTGCTGCAGCAGCTGTTGCTGCAGTAGAAGTTGCTGCAGCGTCTGGAGCTTTTGCAGCTGCTGCTGACCTCAATGCAGCTGCAGCAGCAGCAGCAGCAGCAGCAGCTGCTGCTGCTGCTGCTGCTTCCCTGTGAATCAGCCCAGGAGGCCGTGAAGCTCCAACGCGCCACAGGGGGGCCCCAGTTTGCTGCTCGTAGGCCGTCATGAGCTGCTGATGGTGCTGCTGCAGCACCAGCTGCTGCTGCTGCTCCTCCTGTTGTTGCTGCTGCTGCTGTTGCTGCTGCAGCAACTGTCGCTGCTGCAGCAACTGTTGCTGCTGCAGTTGCTGCTGCTGCTGCAGCCGCTGCACTGAGCGTTGGCGCTCCTGTTGATACTTTTGCTGGTGCTGCTTTAGCAGCAAAGCCGCTAGTTCCTTAGCTTGCTGCTGAATGCTCAGCTGCTGCTGCTGTTGCTCCTGCTGCTGCTGCTGCTGTTGCTGCTGCTGCTGCTGTTTAATGGAGAAAGCCGTGAGGGGCAGGCAATGAGCAGCAACACCCTCAGGCAGCAGCTGCTGCTGCAGCTGGTGCAGCAGCTGCTCCTGCAGCTCTAGGTGCAACTGCTGCTGCTCCTGCAACCGCTGCAGCTCCTGCTGCTGCTGCAGCTGCTGCTGCTGCAGCTGCTGCTGCTGCTGCGCTGCAAACGCTTGTTCCTCGTCGTCTGCGGCTGCTGCACCTTCTGCTGCTGCGCCTTCTGCTGCTGCGCCTTCTGCTGCTGCTGCTGCTGCTGCTGCTGAGGCCCAGGAGGGGACAGAGACGCCGACGCAAGATGAAGGAGACACTCGGAGAGACAAAAAGCTGCTGCTGCTGCTGTTGCCGTTGCTGCAGTTGCTGCCGCTGTTTCCGGGCACTGACTTCTCGGGTGTTGTCAGTGCCGAGGCCAAGCCGCCCCCGTAAATGCCTTGCTGCTGCTGCTGCTGCTGCTGCTTCTGCTGCTGCTGCTGCTGTTCGGGGCTGAACAGCAGCTTTTCCAGCTTGTGCTGTTCCCGGAGGGCCAGGAATAGTGGCTGCTGCAGCTGCTGCTCCAGCTGCTGCTCTAGTTGCTGCTGCAGCTGCTGCTGCAGCTGATGCTGCAAGCTGTACTGCTGCTGCTGCTGCATCTCCATCGCTTGTTGTTGTTGCTGCTGCTGCTGTGCAGCAGCAGCAGCAACAGCAGGCGGTGGGGTCTTTGCTGCTCCGCGGCGGGCCCTTCTGCGTCTCCTTGAGCTACGGGGAGCAGCAGCTGTTGCTGCCTGCATCTGCGACGACTGTGTGTCTGCTGCTGTTGCTGCTGCTGCTGCTGTTGCTGCTGCTGCCGCTGCTGCTGCTGCTGGACCTGCTGAGTAGTTGAGCGGCAATTTGTTGCCTTTGGCTGCCTGCGCTCTGGCGTCTCTTGCTGCTGCCGCCTTGCCTGCCGCGGCAGCAGCAGCAGCAGCAGCAGCAGCTGCTGCTGCTGCTGGTGCAGCAGGCAAACCTTCTGCTGCAGCAGCAGCTAGGCGGGGCCCCCTCAGCAGCAAACACTCTTCATCTCCTCGAGGCGACAAAGCGGGCCTTGGGCGCAGCTCTTCAACGCCATGTGCGAATCTGCAGAGGCCGCCCAAACCCTAAACCCTAAACCCTAAACCCTAAACCCTAAACCCTAAACCCTAGAGCCAGAATCTGGTTCTGCAACGCCGCTGCGGCTGTTCCGCATTCTCCAGCTGGCGCCACCCCGAAGCGTCCAAGGATTAGAGTTTAGGATATAGGGTTTAGGGTTTAGGGTTTAGGGTTTGGGGAGTAGGATGTATGGCTAAGGGTTTGGCGTTTAAGGCTTAGGCTTTAGGAATTAGAATTTATGATTTAGGGTTAAGGGTTTTGCGCTTAGCGCTTAGGGCCAAGGGTTTAGGGTTTAGGGTTTAGGGCCTCGGGTGAAGCGCCTGGGCTTCGGGTTTAGGGTTTAGGGTTTAGGGTTTGGGTGGCTGGCCTGCACTTGTCCCTGTTGAGGCAGAGGCTGGGGTCTTTGGCCCAAAACGCGCAAATCGCTGTTTTGAGGGTTTGGCTATCTGCTGCTAGCTTAAGGCTCCGGGTTTAGGGTTTAGGGTTTAGGGTTTAGGGTTTAGGGTTTAGGGTTTAGGGTTTAGGGT